GAAAAGATTCCCCAGGGTCATTTGAATCAATGTCTAATAAACTACTGGCTTCAAAGTCATAGGAGGCATGTTCGATTTCATGCAGAGCTGGAATGTCGTTAATGGAGAGGAACGGGGAACCATCAGATGCTTGTTTCTTTGATCCATCACAGAATGGAGGGAATATGAATGGTTCCCTGTTTGGCTTAATGTCCATGAAAGAATGTCTAGAACTTCCGATATTCACAAATGCACCACCCATATGGGGCACAAACTTAGTGATTACGCCCAGGTAAACACTATCACACTGCACATTGGTCTTAACTGGTTCCAACAGTAACTCAACCAGTTTTTCACCTTCCAATACAGCAATCCTTTGCACGGTACATATAGAAGAATTGATCAGTATTGTAGTAGAAATGGATTCTGGTTGGAAAAATTTACCATCAGGTAAGAGAGTCTTAGTCAGCTGGTGATTTTGATCATCAGTATCTAAGTTGTTTTCAATATCAACTACTTGTTCGCTATCGGACTGCATATTCCTTGCATGTTGCAAGGTAATAGATTCCTGAAGAAACCACGGTTCCTCAATAGGCTGATAATTGTCAGAAAACAACACACTAAAGTTTGAGTTCTCTGTCGAAGTTCCGAGCTCGGCACAGAGGAAAGATTCGTCTTCTAATTGTTTATCGTTCAAAACTGGTCTTGGGACTTCTGTAGCATCATCGGCAAAAGTGCATTCATCTGCCAAACCACTGGAAGCATTTGAGTTTTAAAATATTTTGAAAAGGATGAAAGGAGACTAAAAGAGAAGGAACCACGGAGATGTTACCTTCGCTTTGAACTGAAGTACCAGTATCTGGTAAAAGGTAACCATCATCAATCCAAGACCCCCATCCGTAGGATTCTTGTGATTCGGAGGAAACAGTCATCCATGAATCCCTTATAATCATTTTTCTGTCTCGATTGACAGAAGAAGGAACTGACAACGAAAATTGGGGCCCTGGTCTCCAAATGACGTCAAATGAAGATCCGTATCCAGCTTTTAAAATGTAATTATACCTGAAATTTACACCAGAAGCAATCTGCCAAGCATATTAAGTTATAAGCAAAGAAGACATATGAACTCGCTTTCAAGAAAGAAGTTTGAGATCTTTTGATGCTTCGAGTGAATATTCAAATGTTTATGTAAATCAAGATACATCTCTACTTATGCTCGCTATGGCTTAAATGAAACAAATGTTCGCTATGGCTTAAACGACACAAATGGATTACCTTGACTTTAGCTTCCCATTGATTATCATTTTCAGTAGGATACATTGAGATTGCGCAGTCTGGATCCCAGCTACCTAAAGCGGAAGGATCTCCAGTAACGTAGAGATGTTCATTGGGTGCCAGATCAGCTTCCACGATCCAAACAACCTCGCATAATCCTTTGAGAAGATTAGCTGGCTGCTCTGAGAATCCAGAAAACAAAAATCTCAGTAGTTGAAAATGTAAACATAGAAATTTCGTAAGTCGAGGCACCAGCACTGAATCGAATTTCCACAAGGGCATTAGAAAAGACATAAACTGAAAACACCGCAGGAGAGTGAAACAATAATATTTTTCATAAAAAAAAGGCTTTGGTCTTCCAATTACCTTGTTGTGCACTTACAATAGCAGACCTTGCACGAGAACGAGAGACCCCAAAGCACAAGGTGAGCCTAAAACTGTTTCCATGAGAGAACA